CTTTTCTGAGGGTCTTCCCTTTCTTCAAGGTCTTCAGACAATCATGTATTTAACTTATGCTTACTTCTCTTCCCATTTTGTTCCTCCTCCTTTCCCACAGTTGCCTCTATATTTCCCTAAAATTCTTTTATATTCTACTCTTCCCTGCTTTTCTTTCAGTTTGATTTCTCAAAGAAACACTGTGCTGCTTTAAAATAACTCCGTTCCTCCTTCCATTCACCTCCCTCCTCCATAACTGCTGTCATTTCCCTTCTTGCTGATTTCACTCAGGTGGAGAAGTATGGGGACCAGCCCTCATGCTTTTCTATCCACAGGGCTCATGCTAAAAATTTTCCCTCCACTTTTACTTAAGAACTATTCCTCCATCTTTCTCTTTACATCCTCCAATTCCTCCTTCACCTTCTTTCCTCCTTTTGCTTCCATCTATATCCACTGCAGTTCCCATTGAAGCTTTTTATACCCTTTCCATCTCCTCCTTGTTTGCTTCCTCCCTTCTCACAAATAAAACTCTTCACTCCTTCCTTTTATTACTTTCCACCATTCCTATACCAATTTAAAACAACTTTTTAGTGCTCTTCAATTTTTGTATCTCTCCCAAAACCTTTGGCAGCATTCCTCCTCTTATGTTAAACACACATTTAACTTGCACATCCATGCCCTGTTATCTAATGATTACCTAGTTGTAAAACCACTTTGATCATAAAATGATCTGTAAAAAAACAGGGGTAAAATCTCCTTCCTTTCTATTTCTACCTTCTTTGATATAAAAACAAAATCAATTCTTGACTGGTTCTCCCCTGCACCCACATGTGTTCCTTTAAAAACCTTCTTCCCTCTCCACATATCTATTAAAAGTTCATCTTTTAAATCTATTTCATGTGACTCCCTGTGCTGTCTATTCCTGTACTTTCCAGGCTTCCCTTCCGGTTACTCTCCTCTAAGATGCAATTAAAATAAACTGCTATCATCTGCAGCCTTCCTCCCAATATGCTAACTGCCAAGCTTTTCAAAAATTCACTGCGTGCCTCCCTCTCCACTGGGGCATAGACATTAAAAAAAAAAAAAAAAAAATCCCACCACTTTTTCTTTTATCCTCAGTATAAGGTAAAGCCTCATGCTACCTCCTCCCCTCTTGCCACCTCAATTTCTGGGTTTCTAATTCACCTACCGCTCTATTCTTATTAGTCCCTGACCAAAATGATGGGCTCCACTTCACCTGCTTTTAAATCTTTTGTACTCTTCATCACCTGGTAATCCACACTTCTGCAAACATAAAATGTCTGAATTTATTTTGTTTAAAAACCAATGCCAATAACAAGAATAGTATATATCTCTCCTATTTCTTGTCAGTACTCCCCTGTTTGTATTATGGCCATAGACAGACATACTGATATACCTTTTTATATGAAGGGGATTTTATTGAGGGGAGTATACAGCAGCTTAACCAATGTAGCTAATTCCCTCGTCCATCCTACAGTGGTAGAGTGGAGCTAAACCACTGTAACATTAAATCTAAATGAAGCAGTTTATAGTCAGTAAAGTAGAGTGGATATCCATTATAGAATTGGATAAGCAATTAAACAATAATATCAATTCAGCATTACTTATGATAAACCAGTCTAATTGTTTTGTTTGCCCACACCATAAGGATCACATTAGTCCTTACAGCCACACCACTGCACTGAGAACTCGCATTCAACTAATTATCCATCATATCTCTCAAATCCTTTTCAAAATAACTGTTCTTAGGATAGGGACTCCCATCTAGTAAATTGGTCCTAAATTCTTTGATCCTTGATGTATGACTGTTTCAGTATAAATAAATGTAGAGTTTGCATGTGTTCTACGTATAAGCAAGCTAGATTGTTCATAGAGGTATAGATTGTAAAGGGCTGGAAAGGACCTCACAAGATCATTGGGTTCAGGACCCCTCTATCAGGCAAGAAAGGCAACTGGGGTCAGGTGACCCCAGCGAGGTGACCATCCAGTCTCAACACTGATCAAAAAACTGAAGCCCTGTCGGTAGCACCACCACTGGAGTCATTGGTTTACTTCTTTGACGCATCCTTCCCACCTAGGTCCATGGCCTGCAACCAGAAGCACAGACGAAATGACTACCTGTGCCCCCAACCCCTTGAGCCCAGCCCCCAGGGCCCTGTAGTCACTCATGACCCAGTCCAGATTACTCCCGGCCATGTCATTCATGCCCACACAGATGAGGAGCATGGGGTAGTGGTCAGAGGGCCGGGCAAGCCTAGATATCCTCTCCAGAACATCCCAGATGCGGGCCCCAGAGACACAGAAGACCTCATGAATTAGGGGGTCTGGAGAGCAGATGGGTCCCTCGGTGCCTGCAGGAGGGAGTCCCCCACCACCACCACCCTGCATCTCCTCTTGGAGGTGGCAGTTCACAGACTACCCACCTCCTCCTGTGTCTCCATTGGTGTGTCTCCTCATGTATGGTGAGGGGAGCATACCTGTTGTACAGTGCAAGGAGAGGAGAAGCCCTAGCCCTGCATGTCCTGGAGCCGGAGATGGCCATCTTCCGGGTAGATCTGGGTGGATCTTGGTGGCCTCCTTGTTAGCCACCTTCTCCTCTATCTTCTACTCTTCTTCTTCCTTATTCTGGAGAAGGGCCTGGCAATAGCCATCAATGTAGTCTTCATGGGCCCTGATGGTGCGTAGCTGATGTACCTCCTCCTTGAGCTCCCACACCTGGCCTTCCAGAAACTCCACTAAGGAGCACACACCACAAGTGAGGGTGCTTCTGTGCCCAGCTGCCAGCGGCCATGCTAGTAGCCCTCATAGCCTGGAGTTGGGGGTTCCATCTAACTGGAGACCTTGGTGGGGCTGGTAAGTCTGTGGGAATGACGAGTCTTGATCATGGCTGAGAGCAAGTCCACACCCCTACCCGGTGCCAGCAGCTTCCCTTTGGGCTTCAGGCCTCAGGCTATTCACTCAGCCCAGCCCTCTGGGTGCCTTCTGTGCACCCCTCAGCACTAACCTCCATGCTAACTGCCGCAACCAAGAAGAGACGCACCTATTTGTTCAGCATCAGTAATTTGTCGTCTTCATTATTTACTATTCCCACAATCATTTATAGACTTAGCAGAAATAATTTTATATCCTCTTCCAGATCACTGCTAAAAATGTTACATTTTGGAGGGCTATCAACCTGTCCCTGCAGGAGCCAATTAGAATCACATTATTTTGGTGATGATTCAACATTTACAATTGTATTTTGAGACCTGTCAGTTATCCAGCTTTGAACAAATTGAATGTTTTTCACATCAACTTTATTTTGTTCTTTTACTGTCCTGAGTTTAACATTTTTAGATTACTTTTAGGTGCAACTTTTATTAAGTTTCAAAAAAAATCTTCATTCTGATTTTTTTTCTGTGTTTTGAATGCTTCAATTTTATAACTACAACATATCTGCAATGTTTTTTTTTCCCTAAAATACTGATGCATACAAAAAAAATGCTTAACTTCTTCTTGTGCAGTTTTTGGCTAGGAGTTTCTAAAATACATTTTGGTCTCATAGCATCATAGAAGTCAGAGATCCAAAAGAACAATTACATCTTCCACCCATCTCTAAGTCTTTGTCTATTGCTATGAGTATTGCCCTTCAGTCTACTTTTTAAAACTTCTAAGAAGACTTCAGTTGCTTTCACTAGGGAGAATGCTTCAGGCCTCATTTTCAGGAAGGTATAGAATAAAGATGGAAGACTGACAGATTTTGCCTACCTTATTACTGGAATTCTTCCAGTCGAGGGTAAGACAGCTGCAAAAACCTGTGGCCTTACTGCAAGTCAGGGCAATAAATTGTGTGAATGCAAGTCCTAAATCCAGCTGCACCTCCCTTCTTTGCCACATACCACACTGGTAAACCCTTTATACTGGGAGGCTGCTGCAACACTAGTAAAAAAACAAGAAAATGACTCCCTGGTGCCAGAACAAAAAACTATACACACAAAATAGCAACAACATACAGGGGAATCTCCCTCCTGAATCAGATGCCTTATATCTAATCAACTCTTATTTGATTTTGCCTTGTTATTCTTAGGGAACTGCTATGTATATCTCATCCCTTCTCAGGCTCCAGCTCCACTAAGCATATGCTTAAAGTTGAGCAGATAAGCAAATGTAACCTTGTCCAACATATTGCAAAAACACGACCTTATATCCTATTGAAGTCAAAAGGACTTAGGCACTTGCATTATTAAATGGTTTGTTGAAATATTCCTAAATAATGGCACCATTCAAACTTTATCTCTGGCAGCTCTTAGTTTTTGTTCCCCACCAAACTGCTCAATTTGATAGATCACGGACCATGAACATCACTTGACAAAAAAGCAAACTCAGGGCATGTGAGGACACAGGTTCATTAAATACAGTTAAAAACTTAAGATGGGAAGAAGAAAACATTACTTTAAATGTTTGGAAATTCAGATAAGATTTTTAAAAGCACATAAATCTTTAATTGCTTATGTGGACTGAACTGAATATTTTATCTAACCGTATGTTTCTGATATTATGATTATGATGATTATTATTATTAAAGGGAAATGAAGAATGTTCACCATTGGCTTACAGGTCTATAACTGAAATTGTAGAGAAATAGATTTAAAGGCAAAATAAAAAGTACAGTTATGAAGATCCTGTTATCTGACCTCCTTCATGATTAAATTTTTTGGTCTGTATTTCCTGAATCAAGTTCAGTGCTTATTGTTGAAATAGGTCTTTTCATTTTGGCACCATGTGTCAGGTGCTGAGTGACCATGTAAAATAACTTGGTTTCAGAATGGTTTCCAATACGCTAGAATTCACAATCACAAATCTCTATCTTACTTGTCAGCTTTAGTAGTGATGTCCATTCATTCTTTGGCCTCATTACTGATAACATGAAAGCATAATGACCACCTTCTCACCCTTTAAAGATGATTTCTTCATGTAAAGTTAAAACACATTGGTGATGAGAAAATTACATAGGCTTTTACCTTTCATATGAATCAGCAGAAACTCTTTCAGTCTTTAATCCTGCTTCTAATCCTACTTAAAAGTAAATTGGAACAAGTCAGAATTTTTTGTAAGATGTTTTTAAGTCATAAAATACCATTTCATCAAAAGCAAATGTTCTGAGGAAAGATTTCAATAAAGCCTTTGACTAAAACCCCAGTGTTGTTTTCTATCAGCCTCATGTTGGGCTGATGTTGAGTCAAGGATTCAAGTGCTTTCTGGCTCCCAAACATCCTCAGAATATGTGGGATCATATTTCATTTCAGATATACAAAGCAGACTTTTTGTTTCCATATTGCTTTTGTTTTCTGTTGGGTTGGGGATTTTGAAGAAAATGAAATGATGTGGAATTTCACTTCTTCAACAGTTTGAGAGAGTTTTTTATTTTATTTTTTTTTTTCCCTAACTCAGGATGAAGACTTTTCCAAAACCCAAAAAAAAAATCCTTTCCATTTATTATATATTGATTTATTTGATTAAAAATCACAATTATATACAACTGAAACAGAGGAGAGCAGTATGTCAAGTTCAATCCTCTGAACAGAGTACTTCTTCATGATCATGCCTGTCAGTGTGACACTTAAAGAGGAAGCTTCCACTTTCACTAGCTAATAGGTTAAAAGAACTGTTTCAGATGTAGCCACAGCAACGGGTGTTGAGTTCTTCATTACTGTTCACTGGTGCTACTAGTTTGGAAGACAGATTGATTTAGGGTGCCCCAGTCAGCCTTGATTCTGCAAAATGAAGGGCATGAACAAAGCCTTGCACCAATACAGAGAATTTTAGCAGGTTAATGTTAATATATTTACCCAGGCGTCATCTCACCTCTAAATTAGTAAAAGTTTCAGTTTGTCAATTTCATATTTTAAAAACACTAAATTTCCTTTAAAATGTTTCCATGGTGCTTTGCCTGGGCAGAAGGATCATCATTCCCAGCCTCTCTCCCACCTTGTTCCACAGGTTAAGTAGTCTTTTACAGCTGTTACCAACTGATGATTACTTTCCCCTACTCATGCTGGCTCAATTCCTCAGCTATTTCCACTCCTCCACTCAGTTGCTTACACACCAATCCAAACAGGAGTAGCTCCATGAACACCATTCTTCCTGCCATTCCTGGAGTGTCAGTGCAGGGAGGCCATGAGTCGATATGCCGATGTGAAGACCTACTTTCAGTCTTATGCATTTGTACAGCCCTTAACTGTTGCACAAGTCCTACTCGCAAGTCTCCCCTCCCTTTTTTTCTTGGTATTTTTTTCTTTTTTACCTAAATCCATATTCAGGCACCTAAATAGAAGTGGCTCCAATTTTTAAACATGCTGAACATTCACAGCTTTCATTGATGTCAATTGTTTTAATACCTAACATAAAAAGGGTGAAAAGCATTGAATCACACAGCAAAAACACACAGAAAAGTGTTGTATAGACAGTTTAATGAGACTTCCATTTACTTTAATGGGAGCTGCAGGTGTTCAGTATGTTTCAAAAAATCAGGTCACTTGAATATAAGTGCCTCAGGGGAGATTTCTGAAAACCACAAATGGCAGTTAGACCCCAAACTCCCATCGAGACACAATGGGTATTAGGCACCTACTGTAATCTGCTTTTGAAATCTCCCTGAAAATGAGGAGTTATTAGATTCACAGCTACCTGGATTTAGGCACTTATGTTTGAACCTGTTAGGTCTACTGTACCTTCCTGTAGGTAACATAGTAATATGTAACAATAACATATATACTGTACTGTTAGATTTCAGTTGCATTGTACCAGCCCTATATATGAATTAAATGCAATATTATATTTCCTAGCCATGTTCCAACGATGATATAAAATGTAGCATATTCATTATGTGTCATTAAACATTTCTTTGTATTATTTTTCCTTGAATTTTGGACTCTTCATTTTTACTTTCTGCATAATTGATGTAAACACTATTTGAAGAAAGATTTGGAATATTGTACTTCACATTTTTAAAATTGCTTTTGATAACTAAGTTAAAGATTTAAGACTGTAGGATACCTGTGCATGTTACATAATAACAAAAGAACAGTTCAGTTGTTATTTTAGATTATATTAATATAAGAAGGAAAAAGAAACCTCTGAAAACTTTTTGAAATAGATAGGAAGAAAGAATCCTTTCTGCACTTCTGTGATTTTTGTTAAGGTGACCTGTGGTTATCCTGATAATGAAGAAATCTGTTTTATACAGAACTCTCTAAAATAATATGTTTTATTTACCTTACATTTTAGGGTAGCAGGGACTGGGAGGAGTGGTAAATGGGTGGAGAGCAAGAGGGAGGCAGTTGGTGCAGGCTGAATGCCTGTACTGCTCCCTCTCCCAGAAACATTTCTAGACATTTCCACCACTAAATTGAATGCCTGTTTGTGGCCTGGAACTGCTGAGATTTGAGAGAATCCAGTAATAAGATATGACAAATTTCTAAAATTCAAATTTTCAAAGGTCCTCTCTCCAGCCTTCACTTTTATATTTATAGTTTTAGATGTGCAAAATGCTTGTGCATATAGATTTAAGCACTCTTTGTTAGACAATGACTTTTGGTACACACCCCAGTAAAGGTTTAGCAATAAAATGCATCAGGGCAGAGACATGGCACTCCTATGTTTCCTCCTTATTTCTGATGGATAGTCATTTATTCCTATGCTCTAACATCAGTAAGTTAGTACCTTTTCCTTCCATTCCTTTTGTCTATTCTGGCCAACAAGTGGAGCAGAGTGGAGCCAAGGCTCCACTTATTCTCTTGTGCTTGCAACCCAGCTACTCGAGAGAGAGAGTAAACACGCTACTATTCCTACTTACTCCTAATGCTGAGACCTGAGGTTTAAGTAGGGGTAAAAGGAGCCCTCTTATTCATATGTTCTCTGTATAATCATATGGTCACTCCATTGTCCAGTATCTAGTACATGAAAAATGACTGGCATAAAAACTATTTGCATTAATTGCTTACTCTGTGTGCAAATGGAGCATGCATCTTAATCCCATAATTTGTGATGGATGTTCACATGGAGCATATATATATATTTTGCATGGCAGGGACCACACACAAAACTGTTTAGAAATAGAGGCACTCTCAGGGGACATTTTTTCCAAAGATGTGGAGAGTACTGTTATGCTTTGAAATGATCTGCAATTTTAATGCATTTCTGTGAAAGCACTTTCTAACAGTGTTATCAGGACAGTGCTTTACATGTAAGCATTTTTAAACAAATCTGGAAACTTTGGGTTTATTTTCTGATTATCTTTCTTCATACAGAGTCACAGTGTATCTGAACATTTTCTTCTAAATTATAACAAACACCACTTTTGCAGCCTTTTCTCTCTCCCCCATAAACAGAGAAGGGAAGCAAGCAAGGAGAAAACACTGAGGCAAAATCTACTTTCATATTCACATACATAATTCAGCTAAAGTCAAAGAAGTTTCACATGTGTAAGCAAGAGTTAATTTGATCTCATGCCTATATTGGAACCCGTGTGAGTAAACTTTATGCTTCAGTTCTCCTTTCAAAAGTGAATATAAAAGGTAACAAGTACATGTAAGCCCTCAGAACTTTTCTTATTGTGTTCTCTGGGAGCTTAGTTGCACAATACTCATGAAAATTACACTTGATATGAGCTCTATAATTATAACAAAAGTAAAAATAGGGTCAGTCTTGGTTTAAGCATTTTTTCTATGGCCCTTTATCTGTACCTTAAATAGGAAGGGAGAGGTTTCATTCCAAAGGCTTTCACATACGGCAGAAACTAATTAATTAGTTAATAATATATGAAGCCTGTACTACATTATAACTGCAATCACCCAGATGGAAAGCCAGAAATATTGATGAAGCTAAAGGTTTAATTTGGGTCTTTTATCCTGCAGATTTCAGGTGGCTGATATTTTCATCAATTTAACCAGACACATACTGGTGTTTGTAAATTGTCCCTGATGATCTAGGATTCAACAACTTCATATTCATTCCTGTATTATCCTATTTCTGATTTAATCTATGTGAGAACTTTTTAAAAACTAAACAGAATAATTTTTTTTTTTTTTCTGTGAAACTGGTTCATGGACATAATTTGAAAAACTACTCTGTAGTTAAAAAAATTTTCTCTAACTTTTCCTCAATGTAAATAAGCAATCACAGTAAATAGAACACGGTGATACACTTTCCTCATCTGGTTCTGGGCCACATGGACTCATGGACTGTGTCCAGATGAACTTGGCCATGTGGTATGTGGTGGGCCAGTAGGGGGTGCTCCTGCATTGAGCCACCCACCTCACTGTGCCCAGCCTCCTTTCCTGCTCTGAGTGCCTCCCTGGGGGCCCCTTCCTGGAGCACACCCACTAGCCTGGGTGTTCCACTGCCACCACCCAGGGCTTGACTTGATTCTGGCTCTGTGCACCCTAGGAAACACAGGCCTAGTAGCCCTCGAGGGTACTTGATTCACTTCAAGAACTTGGGATGCTTCCCTCAGTCGGAAGCACAAGTAGCAGTCTCCCTTAGTCAGCCGAACCAAGGGGAGCCCAGGGCATAATCTAGACCCACTCCCAATAAGTCTCCCACACTGGGTACAAAGGAGAACTTTATTGGTTACAAGGGATAGGGTTGCAATAGGGTACAGGGTAGAGCAATATCAGAGAATTCCCATAGAGCATACTCCCATGGCTGGGTAGCCTTTGATCATGCATCTGAGTTACTGCAAGCTATATATCTAGTTAGATCTCAGGTAGCTTACTCACAAATATCATCCAGAGGCAGGTGGAGATTCCCTCTAGAGTCAGGCAGTTCCTTGATCATGAGGTTTTGAGAGAGAGAGCAAGTTTCAGATGGTTCAGCTCTTCTCTCTCTCTCTGAGTCTTCCTCATGGCTGCTGCTCCCTCCTCCCGGACAGTCCTTAACTTTTATAGCCCTTGTGACCTCATTTACTTGGTCCAATGGAGGCCAGCACCTGTTGGCTGTCAGCCAACCAATTTGAAAACTGGTTGTTCCTAGCTTCCCAGGGAGCAAGCCCCTCACCCAGGTATGTGATGCCAGTCATGTAGGCAGAGGGAGCAGGTTTCCCCCTTCCCTCAGGAATGTATCCAGCTCAGGTTACCTAAAGAGATAAGGTAAGGTGTGTATCCTCTGCTGAGCCCATCCTAACCAAATTGTCACAGAACAGAGTTTATGGGGAGAAACAGAGGTGGCCTTCTGCCACACCACACGTTCAGTTGTTCTTTGCACTGCAATAGAGCAACGTGTGTGTGTAGGGGAGGGGAGACGCCTCGAATATCCAGGAGTCAAAAAAAGCATGGGGGAAAAAAAACCGAGTGGCACAAACAGGGGCAGTGTTCACCACTCAAAACCATGCTCTGGCTGCCAGCCAGGCTCCACACGTACAATCACCACTGTTGCAGCCCTGGGAGGCCCCCAGGACTCCAGATAAGGCTGCAGGGGCCATCCCAGTGCTGGCCCCAGCCTCCCCTACCCCACCTGGTGTAACTTGCTGTGCCCCAGAGTACACATGGCGCAGGCATTCCCCAAGGACAACTAGCGGCAGCACAAGGTGCATTGCTGCTAGTTGATCCCTAGGAACCAAATGTCCATGCACATCTGGACATGGCTATGAGGGGTGAATGAGAGCTGGCAGATCTGTGAATTGTTCTTAAAAGTCTCAGCTTTCATAATTTTTTAGAGTAGTCTTTATCCACGGGTACAGAAGAGGCACATATGGGGACTGATTTGATACCTCATCCATTAATTATGGATATCTGTAGAGAGCACAGTACAAGATAATAATTTTGGTGGATAAAAACATTATATTATTAACAAGATTTAAGGATCACACTGTCTTTACAGAACTGATGAAAACAGCTGGGCGTGGAAAAAGTCTGTAATGCAAAAAGGAGAAAGTCTGTCTGAAACCTTGTCCTGAAACTGTTTCATGAGGGTTTCAAGTGAACTTATCCCTGGTTCAATAGGCATGAAACTATGCAACGATGTTTTATTTCATGATTGCTTTGAATCTGTGATTTCTATCAAATGCATATGGAAATTAAAACTGTGGAATGTCAGTCACGGGTACAGCGTGGTTCAGGGACCTACCTTATAAATGAAACCACTTGACTTTCTAGAATGAACCAGAAAGTGCCTACCCATTTTCTAATCTGATGGTTAAGAAATTTGCAAACCTACATTACGTGTACCCTCATAATCAGTTATTACAATCAGCTGAATGCTTAGGCTCCGAGGCATGATGACATCTATGCAGTCTCAGATGGATTCTTGTGCTAATTTTCAAAGTTTTTCATAGTGAGAACTAGACAAAGCATCAGTGACTCAATGCCAGTATTTTAATTTGAATATGCCTAATGGCAAAATCAATGTTTAATAGTAATCATATTCTAGAACAAAGGTACTCAAGAGAAACAAGAATGTTAGTTAATAATCAAGACTATGAACTGGTTTTCACAACAAAGAAGAATCAATGCACCATTTTCAGGGCCTGATAATGCCAAGTCAAACTCTTCTCTCAGCTGTCACACTTCCATGGCTCACTATCAAAGTCAACCTACAAAACACCCTATATCAACCACTCATCCCAACTGCAACTGGAATATTTTCCATGTCTTAAAGTTACTCTTCAATTACTTGCTAGCGAAAAGAAAACAATGGCCGAGTACAGATATGAGACTTACTAGTATAAGTGACCATAAACTAGTCTGTACCCATTAGGGAACACAGAAGATCGGCACACAAAACCAGTCTATACCTCTAACAGAACAGAAGTTCAGCACATGGACTGGTTTAAAAATGGCAGAACCCAGTCTAAGACTTGCCCCTGCCCATCATTGGCTGTTCTCTTCACTACCAATCTAAACTACACCACTTACAGAAAAACACATAACTTAGATTGATTCTGCCTTGGGCTTTTTGAATGTTTACATGTAGTCAATTGTATCTTTCTAAGCAGAAAAGCAAGTGAAAATAGACAGCTCAACTAAGAATAACAATTCTAGATACTCTGATGACTTATCTGATTATTTCAACTGATGCCATATTTCCTTATATATTTCACCTATAATTTAACAGGAAGACTAGTTAGCAGTTGGAATAACGTGCTAGTGATGAAGAATCCACCATATCTCTATGTCTTTGAAATGAGATCAGATATCTTTCTAAGAGAGGTAGTTAGCCACGTTAGTCTGAAGTCAAGCAAAAGGCACCTTTATAGAGTAACAAAATAAGAGCTGTATAGCAGAGCTGAGGAACAACTTTCCAAGACCAGAGTTTTACAAATTCTTGACCAAGAATCCCACAGCACAATACTAGATAAACTTTTAAAGAAGCAAGCTCTGGAGAGGATTAATCCACCTCCTGGGAGCCCAAGCCAGGCAACTTTTGCTTATTACCCAAGATTAAAAAACCTGGCAACCCAGGATGTCCCATTGTCTCTGGCATTGGCACCATCCCTGATGCAAGGACAACAAAATCCTGTCACCTATGACTCCAGCTTGATCATCTCAGACACATCATTAATGACCTCCAACCCATCCTGAAAAATGATGAGCATCTCAAGGTAGTCACAGGAGACAAACCTATCCTGGCTTGCAGGATCCCAACCTCAAATGACATCTCTCCAGCAACAGACTACCTAACTCAGGGGTGGGAAAAATACATTTTCCAGCCCACAATAGATCCCTTGGTCCCAACTGACCCAGATGCTGTTCAGCCCATGGTATGGCCCACTGCCCTTCAGGTGTGCAGTGGGACTGAGGTAGCTCCATGGCTAGACTCCCTTTCCCAGAAGCCCTAGTAGCAATAGTTCCTTCTGGCTGCTGCCACTACTGGCTCCAGCCCCATGGAGAATGGCTGGGGCCCACACCTGCAGGGCCTGAGCCCTAGGCTGAGTGCACAGCCCCAATCCCAGCCTGCCTCATGCAGTGGATCAGGGTCCTTGCAAGACCCACTCCAGACCTGCCTGCCCCAGCCATGATGAGTGACAGTTGGGCAGAAGCTGGGCAGTGGCCAGGAAAAGCAGGACCCAGCTGCCTCTCCCTCACCACTGCTGGGCCCTTCTCACTGCAGCCACCTGGAGCCTGTGCCAGGGTTGCCCTGAAGCACCTCCCTACTTCTGCCACCATTACCAGGCCCTATCTAAGCTGCCTCTGATGCAGCTGCCAGCCACCCATGCCAGCTCTCAGCCCACTCTCAGCCCCATCCCACGTAGGAAGGTTTGGTGAGCTGGTGTGTGGAGGGAAGGGGGTACTGACCTGGCCCACAACAGCTCCCCAGACCTTCCTATGTGGCCTGTGGGCCCAAATAATTGCCCACCCCTGACTTAACTCCTATTCTTATCAAAACACCAGACCTTGCTGTGGACCCAGATGCCAGTTGTGCCCCCTCATCAACACAAACCACATTATCACTGGACCAAATAATATAAATGACAACATCCAAGTTTCATTCATCTGCACTTCTACCAATGTCATATATGCCATCCCCTGCTTACAGTGCCCTCCTGATGTCTACATTAGACAGACCGGGAATGCCTAGTCTGTCAAAAATGAAAGAATGAATGAACACCAAACTGACATCAAATCTAGAAAGACACACAAGTCTGTGGTATAACACTTTAATTTCCATGGATATTCCTTTTCTGGCCTCAGAGTAGCTGTTTTTAGATAACAAAACTTTAAAAACCAACTTGACTGGGAAAGTGGAGACCAATAAATCATCTACAAACTGGATTATGTTAAGCATGTTCTAAACCAAGGCTACAGATTCTTATCCCATTACCTGGATTAGCTTTTAAGTATGTATCTCAATGGGTTAGCTGCTTTGTTTTTTCTCTCCCCTACCCATTTGGCCCCTTCCCAACCTTTTATAACCTTTGTGATCTAATCACTGCATTCTATTTAGCATTTTTTGCTCTCTGTGTTCCCTTCACTCTGCTTACAAAAGTTTATACTATACATCTCTGATATAGATAATCTATTTAGCTACAAATCTACCCTACTTTCCACCTATTTTTCTAAAAGACATACTTAACCCGGAATCATAATGGCTTGGTACAGGAAGTACATAGTAAAAATCTATGGACAAATCATCATAATTGTGCCTTCTAACCTCAATATACATTAATTCACAAATTGTATTACATGCTTGTGGAACTTTGTATCCTTTATCTGCAATCAGGTGAGATACTTAAGTAAGATGGATACTAAGAGCAGGAATAGAAGGAGGTCTCTGTATTTTTTCTTCCCCTCCCCCTTTTTACATGTTCAGTTTTGTGAAAGCAGGCAAAAGCAATATTGACATAGTTTCCTAAATCAACACTGCAAAGGGACAGAAAAAATCATTGGGACATGCCTGAACAGAGCTTAAAGACACGCATTGCAAGAAGCTTCAGAAACAAGACATATTATTTACTGAACAAGAAATCTTCATGCATTAAAATGCTGAGAAAATAAATGAAGCCTCTCAAGAGTGGCACAAACTCAGTGCTCTATTGATGCTGATGGGATATATAAATGCAGCAATAATTGGAACAACATTAAATCTATATTTTCCCTTTTATTATTACAGCTATCAAATGTAAAGTGAAGATGTGCAATAGCAGACCATCTCAGAAATTTTTAGACTCATTCATACTCAGACTCAAGAGCTAAAAGAACTAATCACACCAAAAGCATTGAAAATCCATTTATTCTATATATGCAGCAGACAGGAATGGGGCTGAAACCATTGTGGCTCAATGTTTTCTAGTCTTTGTTCAATCAAAGCATCTCTTGAAATCAAATATAGA